ATGATGAATACATGGACTATAAAAAGCGTGACCATTAATCTTATCTTCTTAAATACATCAATAATATGTGCTCCTTTTATGATGTCACAGTTCCAAATATTTCTTGTCCCTAAGCTTAGACGGATTGGTTTACAAAAGGTATCAGTTCACGCACGTGTGCAAAAAATAAAAAAGGCAAATCAAACTCTCTTAAACAAAGGAAACTATTCTCAACCTGTCATCATAAGAGGAATGTCAGATGATTAAATCTCTGTAGATATCATTTTTCACTGTTCCGATTGGGAAAAGTCAAAATGCTATGGGGTTTCACCACATGGAAAGATGGGGTGGATGTTTAGAACCAAGGTCCAAGTATATCATCCAGAACAGGGTGCCCGGTTGTGTTTGAATTTCAGATTCTCAACGAATACCTCTTTTAGCATGAGTACGCCCCAGGCAATAGGGGGTTACAACTACAAAAAGAGAGTTATCCGTTGTTAATACAGAATTCAAATGTCACTGGGAATCCCGTATTTAATATGGAAACCCTCATTCCAAGGAAAAATCTGCATCTAACAGATTAGAGTGTAGGGAAGTATAGCCATACAGGCGAACACTTGGAAGTCAACGCCATGGCAGAGGTGTAGGAGAAGAGCATCTCAGGCACGTCGGCATGGATCCTGATATTTGCAAAGACTGTCATTACAAGATGGACTGTGGCACTAATCCGTTGACACCTGTGGATTTAGGAATGGTGTCTCCCTACAACCTGAACCGTGCCTTCCCCTGGCTCGGCGGTTCGGGTGGTCTTCCTACCAACGAGACGACTTTCGCCAAACTCCTGCAGCACCGGGGCTACCGCACGGGACTCATAGGTATGGAAAGGTGATCACGCGTGCTCCCTTCCACTGAAGCTGCTCTTTTCCAGGGACGCGGGCTGCAGACGTGCCGGTTGGCTTCTCTTTGAGATGAGACAGGTGCAGAAGGAACTTGCCACACCATTACTGAGGATCTCCAGTGTCAAGGGCATGGTGTTGGGAAAACCACGGGAATGGAAAGCAAACAGGCATACCCAATGTTGCCACCAAAATGGAATATTCTGTAGGGGATGTGCTACTTTTGTGAGGCCACGAATAGCACAAAAACTAGTACATTCTTAAAGACATGCTCTTGAATTTGAGAACTTAAAGCATTAATAGTGGTCATGTTGAGGCAGTCATTGGTTTATTCAGACCACATGACATCCTGTGCCATTTAGAGGGGTGTGAGTTTGTCAGGCGGCATACGGCCAGGTAAGTTTGTCCTGTAGCATTCTGGTCCAAGGAGATGTTCCGATAGGAAGACGTGGTGTGATCAAATCGTTGTGGGGAATGGAGCAATCTCAATGTGAATTGTAAGACACCCAGTTCTGAGATGGCCTCAGTTAAAAAGAAAAATAAGGAAGAACTTTGCAACCAGGAGGGCAGGTATTCCCATGAAACTCCAGCTGCATTCTGAGAGTGAGCTTCCTCTAGAATAGCTTGGAGCAACCTTCTCACATCTTTAGAGAGGAGATAATGCTCGATTCAAATCCAACCCTCCCATTATTAATTAATGGGACTATAGGCTTCTGAATGAATCCAAATAGTGCATTTTCCAGGTCAGGAAGGGTCTGAGATGGATTTCATACAATCATGTGTGCAAACATAATGACCTGACCCGTATAGAGTATGTGCTCGATTAAAAGAATCACATCACCAGAATACTTTTGTTCATGATGAGCTTCTTTGGCTAGTTCATTATCCCTCACTTTGGGGCCATTCGAGAAAAGTTTCATGCATAGGATTTTGGTTACCTTTCCAGGGGGTTGGAATAAGAGAGTCGGAAGCCACTGCCAGACGAGAACACCAATGTGCAGAGTATACCACAGGTCGGTGGTGGTGTGGCCACCAAACACCCAAGGCTTCCCACCTAATTCCAGACACCTGGAAGATTTCTGATTATTCATCAGAACTCTTGGTACCAAGCAAATCATTTCATTCCAATCCAACAGGGTGCTCTTCCTCTAGCAAGCAACGAGGTTCTGCTTGCATGGTTTTCACCCGAAAGGTGCAGATTGTGCGGAAAAAGCCGTTGGTGGTATGTCTAGGAACCTTCTTAGGGACTCTCAGGAAGTCCTTGGGGATACCAAGAAGACACCACAATGATAAGAGAATAAAAGTTACTATTTAACTTTCCCAAAGGGGGGTCCGCGTTCTAGAAAGGGAAGGGCGTTTGATGCTGCAATGGTACAATTTTATGTCGCTTCCAGGAAAGTGGCATCTGGGACTGAGTTGTGCCTCCCGGGATGATCACTGCTACCACCCGCTCAACCACGGGTTCGACTACTTCTACGGGATGCCTCTTGGGCTGTTGAGCGACTGCCAGGCGTCCAAGACGCCGGAACTGCACCGCTGGCTACGGATCAAACTGTGGATTTCCACGGCGGTCATCGCCTCAGTTCCTGTGCTGCTCCTCATCCCCAAATTCGCCCGCTGGTTCTCGGTCCCCTGGAAGGTCATCGTCGTCTTGGCTGTCCTTGCCTTGCTGTTTTTCGTATCCTGGTACTCGAGTTACGGGTTCACTCGGCGTTGGAATTGCATCCTCATGAGAAACCACGACGTTATCCAGCAGCCCATGAACGAGGACAGGGTGGCCTCCCTCATGCTGAAGGAAGCCCTCGCTTTCATCGACAGGTATCTCCTCATTTCTTGCCTGACCGCCTGCTTAAGAGTTTTTGTTTTGTTTTGTTTTGTTTTTGAGACAGAGTCTCACTCTTTTGCCCAGGCAAGAGTGAGTGCCGTGACGTCAGCCTAGCTCACAGCAACCTCAAACTCCTGGGCTCAAGCGATCCTCCTGCCTCAGCCTCCCAAGTAGCTGGGACTACAGGCATGCGCCACCATGCCTGCCTAATTTTTTCTATATATTTTTAGTTGTCCAATTAATTTCTTTCTATTTTTAGTAGAGACGGGGTCTCGCTCTTGCTCAGGCTGGTTTCGAACTCCTGAGCTCAAACAATCCGCCTGCCTCGGCCTCCCAGAGAGCTAGGATTACGGGCCTGAGCCACTGCGCCCAGCCTGCTTAAGAGTTTTATTCTTATTTCATGGCAGGTGGTTACATCTTGATATGATAATATGGACCTTTGAAAAAATGTATGATATATTTGAACCTGTCCTTGGATAGAATAGAGTAGTTAAATTTCCTGCCAATTTTCAATGCCGAAAAGGCAAGGAAACATGTTGTTTTCACTTTCCCCTTTAAAAAAAAAAAAAAACAAAAAACTGGAATTACTATAGCTCATTAATTGCTCCAGTGTGGATTGGTATTGCTATCTACATGTATTGAATCGTTGAGACGGGGTTTCAGTCAGATGCAGCTGGAGGAAGCCTTCTCTGCTCGTGGAGTATTGCAAAGTGACTCTGTGTTTATAGGTATCAAGTTTTAATTTTTCTGTGTTCAATACAAGCGAGGCATGAATGTAATAGCAGCTTACTTCTAGATGGCAAGTTAGAGACTCATTAAAGTTGTCACACTGGGTTCTCATTGACATGCTTTCTCTTCTCCCTTAGCGGGGTAATGGGGGAGTAGACAGAAGATGATATAACTCCACAGGGGTAATGAGTAGACAGTGGAACGTCATTTACCTATATACCTGTGTGCCTGCCACGGTCATTATTTCCTCCAACAAGTCAGACAGAACGGTGGTGTAACCATGTTACCTGCCACTCTCCTTCCTCCTAGCTCAAGTTTCTTGCACTGTCTTTGAGATACCACGACCAATCGCTACCTCCCTCCCCACCTTTTATTTATTTTTTGAGACAAGGTCTTGCTCTGTGATCCAGGCTAGAGTGTAGTGGTATCATCCTAGCTCACTGCAACCTCACACTCCTGGGCTCAAGCGATCCTCCTGCCTCAGCCTTCTGAGTAACTGGGACTACAGGCACGCACCACCATGCCTGGCTAATTTTTCTATTTTTAGAAGATATGGTGTTTCACTCTTGCTCAGGCTGGTCTTGAACTCCTGAGTTCAAGTGATCCTCCTGCTTTGGCCTCCCAGGGTGTTAGGATTACAGGTGCGAGACACCACATTTAGCCCCTCCCCCTATTTTAATGCTGAAGGAGTATGTTTGGATGTTAAAGTGCAGGACACAAAAAGCAAGATATGAATGAGGGCAGTTTATTCCTCTCTTGGGGGGGCAGGCCATAGATACCATGAGGTTAGGAGCACCTCAGCTCCTTCTAGCCTGCTCTCTGCCATCCTGCGTGAACAGCCTCATGGCCCAAGGTGGATGCCAAGGCTCCAGCCATCACACTTGTGTTTTAGAAAGCATGACGAAGGAAGAGGAAGCAATGAAGAAGAACCCTTTCTACAAAGGGCATGCTCTACTTTACTTATGTGTTGCCACTCTCCCTTGGTTGGTAGCTATTCCTACAGACACTCCTAGATATAGGAGATTCTGAAAAGTATATTTTGTGATCATGTATTCAGTTAAATATTGGAGCTGGTGTCCTTGAGGAACACAGGGGGGTGTGGAGAATAAGGTGCATTGAATCCATAGTGCAGTGTATCTTGGTCTGTCCTTAGGATATGATTCCTCCAAACCCATAGCTGAAGAAACACTCTCAGACAACAGATAAAAAGAATATTTATCTATGTATCTATCTCTCTATATACATACACACAGATACATATATTTCATTTTATTTTTTAAATTTCAGAATATTGCATACATATATTTTAAACAGCAACTTTATCCATTCGACAAAGAGTAAAAGATGTATTAACCTGCTACTTTATGTCAGATGCTAAGCTGGATACAACAACATGTAAAATGAACTGCACTAAATGTTTTGCAGGGAGCACAGTGTTCTGCAACTCTTATTTCTCCTCACTTCCTTTCAACATCAGTCTTGCTGTGGTCCCGACTCCCAGGGGCGGTTGCCATGTAAAGCACATAGAAAAGCTTCACCAGGTGTTATAAGATCTCTCAACCAGTGCAGGGTCACGGGCAAATGGGAGAGATGCCCTTGTCGACGGAGGTAATTCTGCTGACTTTCTACCCCTTAGGTATAAACGGGAACCTTTTCTTCTCTTTTTTTCCTTCCTGCACGTCCACACTCCGCTCCTCACCAAAGAGAAGTTCGTCGGGCACAGTAAATACGGACTGTACGGGGATAATGTAGAAGAAATGGATTGGATGGTGGGTGAGTACGCAGCATAGCTTTACATGCAGGATGCACGAGCGAGAGAAAACAAAAAATGCCCAGCCCCTTGCATATCACGAACGCCCGATAAGTATTTGTTTCATTGAATGTTATTAAAATCTGGGCTTTCATTGTCCAGAAATACCGGTGAAACACATTCCCCAAGATAACAGTTTAGGTTTTCCCATCTTTAAAATGAAGACAGCCACTTTCCCGAAAAACCCATTGGCAAGATAAAGTACCATGCAGAATGTCGTCATTGCTAGTTATTTTGATGGATATAAAACGAGATGTGTTATTGTTATTAATTAGTTTTACAGGAAACACTTAGAAATTGGGGATGGGAGTTTGTCAAACCAAAGCCATTCCTCCAGACCAAAGCCGTTCCTCCAAACCAAAACCATTCCTCCAAACCCAATACTCCAAACCAAAACCATTCCTCCAGACCAAAGCCATTCCTCCAAACCCAATACTCCAAACCAAAGCCATTCCTCCAAACCTAATACTCCAACCCAAAGCCATTCCTCCAAACCCAATACTC